ATCTAACCACTCTGGAAAAACACCAGCAGTATATTATAATGCCTTAAGAGGAATTATGTAGGTGCATAATTTCATAGTAATCCCAACCAATGAAAAAAACGAGGCTAAATTAAAGTCTTGATTTGTGTGTATATCTAAATTTTATCTCTGTTTTCATTTGCAGGTGAAGCTGTCAGACTTTGGCTTTTGTGCCCAGGTCTCAAAAGATGTGCAGCGCAGGAAGTCTCTTGTAGGAACTCCCTATTGGATGGCCCCTGAGCTCATCTCAAGACTCCCATATGGACCAGAGGCAAGCCACACCCCTCTTTATTACATATGATGCCTTACTTCTGACAGCACTGCAGCTCACACATTTCAGACTGTTTCTACAGGTGGATATTTGGTCACTTGGAATTATGGTTATTGAAATGGTGGATGGAGAGCCGCCGTACTTCAATGAGCCTCCGCTCAAGGCCATGAAGATGATCCGAGACAATTTGCCACCCAAGCTCAAAAACCTCCACAAGGTACACCCATTTCCTTTTGCTTAACCATGTGGGCAGAAAGAGATTAATCTTTAAGCCAGTGTGTACTGACCAGATTAAGCACATTTGGCACTGTTCTGTATCCACAGGTCTCGCCACTTCTCAAGGGATTCTTGGACAGGATGCTCGTGCGAGATCCTGCCCAGAGGGCCACAGCTCATGAGCTGCTAAAACATCCCTTCCTGAGTAAAGCGGGCCCTCCCTCTTGCATTGTTCCCCTCATGAGACAAAACCGCATGAGATGAGAAGAGAAATCGGGGCGGGATCTGTCAGGCCCTCTGAGCTCAAAGCAAAGACCCAGATGCAAAGATGGAGTCCGTACTCTGCACAGTTTAAACATCTGAAATGATTGTACAGGTCAAGACTTTTAGGAGAAAAGGCCATTGATGCTATGGACATTAAGAGGGTTTTTTCCCAAACATTTTTACCACTGTTTTTATTACACTATAGAATACACCAAATTTGGTGACATGAAATAGACATGATTAGATCCTTCACAGTGTTCTGCTAGAAGAGGTTCCCCTCTCTGGCTAATTCAGAAACACGAGAACATGTTCTCTAGGTGGTTTCATGCATGATCTCTAAGACTGTGCTTTTGGGTGAACCGAGTTAAGGAGGTTTAGACATTATGAAAATGCAACAGTTTTATGGATTTGTACCAAGCCTCAAGCTTTTTTCCCCTGCACTTCATCTTTTGCACCATGGCCACACTAATTAATCCATTTTTAACAGGAAAACAACTACTGAAGAAAAAAAAGGTTGAAACGCTAGGCTCCTGTTACAACACTAAGCAATGGTAAACACTGGAGGCATTTTTTTGTTTTTTCAGACCATTTTTTATTTTATTTTAATGAAAGTAGAGAGTTATATTGGTTTTCATATTGCGTTTTGAGTGACCGTGTGATGTTTTAAACTGTTCTGAGATTGAGCTGCACTCCAATATCAGACTTCCTCCTTTGATTCATTGTTCCACTTTTTTATATAATAAAGGGGGGAAGGGTTGGGTGTAGGTTTTTTTTTTTTCACTTTCACCACGGCGCCACGCCACATTAGCTGAAGAGATTGAGTTGTTTTCAATGTAGGGCAGCCTGTCTTTTCATGTGCGCCCAAATTCTCCAGTTAAGTAGCTTACATCTTTGAAGTATCGTGGCCTTTCTCTGAAGGATTCATTCTGGTTGGTTTTGTCGGAGAGATGTTGAACTATATGAATGTATAGCTGAGCGTTACGTATGCTCTACTTTGAGAGCTTGTTCAAAGGAAGTGGACCATATAGATATAGATCGCGATTGATCCCACGCTCTAAAATATAGGCTGTAGTACTCGTGTAATTGGTCATGTGCATTACGACGTTTTGTTGTAAGAGCACCATGACGTTCGAGGATTAAGAGCAGAGTAGTGGAACAACCAAAGACTGTTTGAAATACTGAAGGTTTATAATACTAATTAATCCGAGTACACTACATCACGTTAAAGGAATTGTTTACCCAGATAGAAAAATTCTGTCATTTATTCACCATCATTTCCTGTGTAGCGTCCTTTCTTCTTTAGTGTTGTTTTGGACATTTTTTTAAAAATGCCATTTTATATGTTTCACAGTAGAAAGAAAGTCATATAGGTTTGAAACAACATTAGGGTGAGTGCCTGGTGACAGAATTTTCTTTTTTGGGTTAACTGTCCCTTTAAGACTTTATCTTTTCTTGCTCAGTCACAAAGATCCAGGACCAAAGTGGATGGGAACATTGACAAAATTTAAGAAAAAAAAAAAAACATTAAAAGGCCGTTTCAAAATTAATCTGATTCGTGTAGTGACTCTACATGTGAATACTAGCTGATCATTAATGAGAATCGAGTGAATGCACGTTTGTGAGAAGATGGAGGTCACATTTACATTCGGTAATTTACAAATTGTTTGAAGATTAATTGTAGAGATTCGTTCTAGACTGAAGCGGTAGCTGTTGTGTATATTTTGAGTTTTTCTAAAAAACGTGTTCTTTTGCCGAGGGCCTAAACTGTAACACAGCAACAATAGCTCTAATTGTAGATGTGAAGGTTTGAGAAAATTAATAACCATTATTGACAGACGCAATTAATATAAAACACTGCTAGAATTTGTTTGTTTGGTTTTTTCCACCAGTAAAAGTTTTTAATGGCATTTCTTTACATACTGGAACTGTTACTTTTTCAGGAGGTGAAACAAAAATAATGACAATCAGGCATTGGAGCAAAGTATGTACACGCATGCAAATGTATAATCCGAGAGGAATAAATAATGAAATTGAGAGAATAGCATTCATATGTATTGTAGGTAGTTGTTTAACATCCTCAGTGCACTGAAACAACATGAGGTTAGCATTCCTACAAACAAAGAAAAAACGCCTTAATGCATCTTTAATGAAGAACTGAAACTGAACACATTCTCCACAGTATGCTACTTGATTTGTGACCAGCCACACATTTAAAAAAAAAAAATGTAATTCATCTGCTAATGTTTAATAACTATTGACTGTTCATAAAGAGGATACCACAAGCCTTATTTGATTGGAAGTGTGAATGGATGTGCCACCAGTAAAAGTTTTTAATGGCATTTCTTTACATACTGGAACTGTTACTTTTTCAGGAGGTGAAACAAAAATAATGACAATCAGGCATTGGAGCAAAGTATGTACACGCATGTAAATGTATAATCCGAGAGGAATAAATAATGAAATTGAGAGAATAGCATTCATATGTATTGTAGGTAGTTGTTTAACATCCTCAGTGCACTGAAACAACATGATGTTAGCATTCCTACAAACAAAGAAAAAACGCCTTAATGCATCTTTAATGAAGAACTGAAACTGAACACATTCTCCACAGTATGCTACTTGATTTGTGACCAGCCACACATAAAAAAAAAAAAAATGTAATTCATCTGCTAATGTTTAATAACTATTGACTGTTCATAAAGAGGATACCACAAGCCTTATTTGATTGGAAGTGTGAATGGATGTGAACAAAATGGCGTAATGCATGACTTTCTCAAAAGACTGGTCCAGTGAACGTGTTGAATAACTTTCAGAAATGACTTCTCTATTTTCTGAATTGCATTCCCAGGGCCGATCAGAGCATGATCTCTTATGTGGTAAGATAATGATCTGCTCTTTTTGTTTTGTTTTGTTTCCGATTTTGTTCCTCATGTGGTGCTCTCAAACAGTACTGCAAATGCTATCTGGAAAAGGTACATTGTATATTAATATGGCTTTCATTTTTTTTCTCACTTAGTCTGTTTCAGATTGTCTCTGCATTAAACCTAATGGATCACCCTTATTCTGCTGTTGACTTATTTTAAGCCTAATAGGTTTCTAATTAATCTTGCACTGTATTTTTTTTTCTATTATCATCATTTCCTTTTTTCATCATGTAGATAGTTTTAAAGAAGCTTATTTTAAAGGTGGAATACAATCGAAGCATGAACTTTGTGCTCACTGCTGGCATTCTGACATCTTGATGTTCCCCCATATCTGACAGACTTGTTTTGGACTAATCATCTTCAACATCTATTTGGAAGTGCTACTGACAGGCCTGTGTTGTTGTGAAGTATAAAATGGTTCATGCTGGTTCTTTTGTTTTCTCCTTTTATTTCTATGTATTGTTATTTTTGGTGCACAACCAATGTCAGAGTTCCCTCTATAATATGTGAATTTTTACTGGTGGTAAAATATTTTTTCTTCAAATACAGTTTTTAAACATCATCTTTTGGCTCCCTCATTTCACTCTTTAAGCCAGATGTGGTAGTATGATTTTGCTCTTTGAGATGAACATAAGTATGTTGTTCAGAGCTGTCATATTGACACAGGATGTATCCTAGTCATTTTGATGATGACCTTTGTGATATGATAATTAGATGGTGTGAACTGGGAAAGTACTTTCAGTGAACTCATGCATTATATTAAAATTTGCGTTATGTAAAAATATAGTTTAATTTAAAAATAAGCAGAAGCATTAGACAATTTGTCTTTTAAGAGTGTATATGCATATATGTCAACGTCAGTCGGGATATCAAAACGATTAATATGAAAAATGTTAAAATGCGCCCCTATGATGGCCAGAAATGCAGTCTAGTTAGGCAGCTCACAAGCTTTTAAAACGCGGCCACCGTCAGTGCATATTATTGCTCTTTTTCCCTCACAGGCGGTGCATCCATCCTGTATTTTATCACTTCTGTTTTGTTTCTGTTTTCTGTGTCTTCCTCAGGTTTTATGCCAAATGGGGAAGCGGGTGCGCTATAGGTGTGGTCGTAAAAATATTTGTATAAATAATAAAACCACAGCCTACTGCTTTTCCACGAATTGCTTTCGGTTTCCAGAATATGATGGCCAAATGTGGGCGGTCCCTTCTCGTCGCTGTGGGGCGGGGCGCAGGCCGGCGACCAATCAGAGCTCGAGCTGCGCATGATAACTCAGCTGTGCGGTGAGTCATCTGACAGCTGCTGCTCTGGAATAGATGCACTTGTTGAATCAGGTCCCATTCAGTCGGGGGGCACAGGTTGTGTGCTAAGTCATCTGAAATCTTTGACGGATCCCTCGTAAATGAAAACACACTAAAGAAGCGACTGCGCTAGATCGATTTTATAACCTCACATCACCGCCAGCTGCATTGCCAGGTGAGTTTCGTTTTGGATCAGACTTTAACACAATACGATGCAACAATAGAGCTTTTGTGCACCTGTCTTCCTTTTCACAAACCTACAGTAAGCGTGTGAACAGTGCTATTAAATCACACATGGGTTTTGTACAATGTTCTAGTGAAGGGCAGTGAAGAACAGAATCAGCATTGTTATCAATGGCTTGATTAGTAGTGCAGAAGAATCAAAGATCAGTTCTCTTTTATCGTATATGTCAGTGCTGTTTCCCCTCATACCCATAACTAGCGGTTTAAATGCCAGTTAAAAGAAAAATGTCAAGTCAAGTCACCTTTATTTATATAGCGCTTTTAACAATACAGAGTGTCAAAGCAACTGTGCAGCATTAATTAGGAAAATAGTGTGTCAATAATGCAAAGTGACAATAGTAAACACTCATTTTTCAGTTAAAGGCAGTTGTGTGTAAATGTGTTTTAATGTAACACAGCAATTGCACATTTTAACTCCATACACCTTAAAAATAGTTCCCAAAGTGTAAACAAAGATTATTGGAGTGTTTGTTTTTCTACTTAAATATTTCAGGTTTAATACATTTTTTGCAATTGTTTGTCAAATTTACTAGCAATTTCTAAGAGAAAATAGTTTCTTCACCAATTTGTGACTGTTTGCAGATCAAAAAATGTTATTGTCACTGTCATATACACAAAAGTGCTGTAGAGAATTGCTATTTTTGTGACTGATAATGCTAATTATTATTTTTACATTTTTGTGTTCCATAACCATATGCCATATACAGAGGATTTTTGATCGTTTTTTCTGCTTTTAATAATAGAATACATAAAAAAAATGTTATGGATTAATTGCTTAATTAATACAAATATATTGAGACAATACAAACGAACTGCATTGTAAATCATAAATAATGTCTGCACAGCGATTGTCTATCTGGTCATGTGTGCGTACTGCCCTGAGCTGCGGGGCTCTCATGCTGGCTTCTCTACCAGACTTCACCACAGGTAAGACAATTTCCTTTCAGCAACCCACATCTTCCTCTTCCAGATAACCAGCCGCTAGCTTCCTCTCAAAGCCGCTAGTAAAGATCGTAAACTTATCATTTTGGCAGTAATCACTTATGAAACTTTATATAGGCACTTGTAGGCCAATCTATCTTGTTCAATCTATTAATTTATTCAAAAATGCATTAAAAATGCAATTACAGTGTCTTGAATACGTGTATTTTACAGTGAATTTGGATATTTTTGGGAGGTTCGAAATGTAAACCCTTCCTGATCATAATGAAGAAAATAAGATTCATTAAAAAAAATGGAAAAGTTATTAAAATGGCTTTAATTCTTAAAAAAATTATTAAACAGATAATCATATGAATTATAAATGGTTATAGTAATATTATTATAACTATTCATTATTAGAACAGCTAATATGTAATATACAATATTTGTTTTAATAATTTCATAATTCGTTTGTCAAAAAATGTTTCATTAGAAAAATATTTTAATAAAATTGCCTCACTACTTAAAACTGTTCTAGACGTTATGTGCAAAACTGTCATCATAATGAAGAAAAAGATGAATAATTACAAGTTATTGTAAAGAAAGCATGAATTATTATTAATATTATTTAGAATTATATAATATAATAATACTGTATCAACTATGAATACAATTATTTACACTACTTTCTTTGCTAATATTTGCCAAATATTTGCCATTTTAAAGTCATTTGGTGCAACCAACATGCAGAAAAAAATCAAAACGGGAAGTATAAAAGTTTTCAAAACCATTCGAAACCAACACAATACAAAGACTACATGTAGTAGTTGAATTTTATCTTATCAAGGTCATTTCTATTTTATCTTTCTGATTTCAAGGTAAGAACTGCTCCCACCCGCTCGTACCCGAGCATGGAGGTTTCCGCTGTGAACCCTCTCCCTGTCGTGGTTTCCCTCAAAAGAGCATCATTAGCTTTTTCTGTGAGCCCGGCTACATTCTACCCAAACGCCACCATCGGTCAAAGTGTCAGCATGGGGAATGGCGTCCAGCAATGCCCATCTGCATTCCCCAACCAGGTAAGAGAAAATAAAAAATTGGGTTTGCATTTTGAATACTTGACACAACCACCGCAATCCAGCCATTTACTGTCTTTCGAAGTAATAGACTGATGTGAAAGACTGAAAGTGGCGTATGCAGGCTTTCCATCTTGCATCAGACGTCCAATAGTTCTGCATTCTGAATGAAGAAAATGTGCTGGAGGAAGACATTGCAAAAGCAGAACCATTAATATAAATGACCTAAATAAGCTCCAGGCACCGGTAGTGAAGTAAACTCCTAACCTAAGGAGGGGGAAAAACCATGATGCTTGTCTGAGCTGAAACATGTCTTGAGAGGAAACCAACAGCTTGAGCAGGAAGTTAGCAAAGTCACTAAACTAACCAGTACTACTTTTTTCTGTGATGCACGTAAAGCCTTCGGAAAACGTTTGCATCATAGAATCCGAATCAAAGGATGTAAACCTCGCTCAACCGCTTAATCCAAAAGCCTGGCATCTGGCCTTGATTTGTACGTCAAGCTCTTTGACGGATGCCTTTAAATGGTTTGTGTGTGTGTTGTTTTTTTTGTTTAACAGAGGGTCATGCTGAACAAAAAGAAAACATAGTCAACTCTATCCCAAGTGTGGCTACGACTGCTATTGGTGTGTCCATCTTCCTTCTCACCACAACAGCCTGTTTGGTCATCAAATCCCGTCTATTCTCCTGTCGAACGCAACGGTATGAACTATAAAAAAAACACAATTGAAATGCACATGGTTACACAACTTTTCAAAAGTTTGGGGTCAATACTACATCAAAGTACTATTATTCCAGCGAGGACGCATGAAATGGATCAAAAGTGACAGTGAAGACATTTACAATGTTACTATTTCTATTTCAAATAAATGCTGTTCTTTTGAACTCTCTAATCATCAAAGAATCCTGAAAAAAATGGTTTCCACAAAAATAAGCAGCACAAGTCTTTTCAGCATTCATAAGAAATGTTTCTTGAGCACCAAAACAGCATATCAGAATGATTTCTGAAGGGTCATGTGACACTGAAGACTATCAAAGCTAATTCAACAGCCTGTTTGGTCATCAAATCCCATCTATTCTCCTGTCGAACGCAACGGTATGAACTATAAAAAAAACACAATTGAAATGCACATGGTTACACAACTTTTCAAAAGTTTGGGGTCAATACTACATCAAAGTACTTTTATTCCAGCGAGGACGCATGAAATGGATCAAAAGTGACAGTGAAGACATTTACAATGTTACTATTTCTATTTCAAATAAATGCTGTTCTTTTGAACTCTCTAATCATCAAAGAATCCTGAAAAAAATGGTTTCCACAAAAATAAGCAGCACAAGTCTTTTCAGCATTCATAAGAAATGTTTCTTGAGCACCAAAACAGCATATCAGAATGATTTCTGAAGGGTCATGTGACACTGAAGACTATCAAAGCTAATTTCCGTCACCATTTATACCTCACAATTGTGATTTTTTTTATTTTATTGGGATTGCAAGATATAAACTCATAATTGTGAGATATAAACTCAGAAATGCTAAATTTCAACTCAAGATGAAAAGTCTAAATTGTGAGATATAAACTTGTAATTGCAAGAAAAAAAGTAATTGCCAAATCCATGATCCATGGCAGAAAGAAGCTTGAATTTTTTTTCCTTGCTATTGCAAATTTATATCTCACAATTATGATTTTTTTCCCCCCTCTCAGAATTGCAAGATGTAAATAAAAAAATTGCAACTACTTTTTTTTCCTTGGAAGAAATAAGCTTCCATAGAAGACGAAAATAATGGCTGTTAAAAATGTAGCTAATAAATTCCATTTTAAAATATATTCAAATAGAAAACATTCATTTTAAATTGCAATAATGTTTCAAAATATTACTGTTTTCGCTGATTTTTGAGCAAACAATGAGCTTGATGAGCATAAGAGACTTCTTTACAAAACATACTTCCTTCAAAACCCACCCCAAACATTTGAATGGCAGCATATATCAGCATGACACTAACTGTTGTGTCTTTCTCATCAGGCGTTCCTCGGATCAGTTGGACCTTGTTGTAGATGGCTTACCTGTAGCTCTTCCCACGTACGAGGAGGCAATCTACAGCAGTTGGGGCCAACGACTCCCGCCATTCCGTGGACCCACTCAGCTCCTGCTGACCCAGGATGGATCCGAACACAGTCCGCTGACTTCGCTCATGTGCCCCGATTCGAATCACTGTACCGACACAGCCAATCAGAGCACAGAGACTCCACCGCCTCCTTACGAAGAGGTCCAATCACGATCTAGAGACACTGAGAACGACAGTGGCGAGCGGGCTTTGCAAAGTGCACTTTCTGTTGATAAAAACAACTAATTACTGGACGTTAATGAACTCACCCTTAGCTTTTTGATTGTTCGTTTTCTTGCACAGGAGTCCTTGTGACTTTTCTTTCTGCCTTTGATTGTGGATTCATCCTTCTTTGGCTTAAATACCAGTGAAGAACTGGTGTAGATGTTTCGCAGTGACCTTATTGGTCAGATACGTTTTGTTTTCCTGGGCAATGTGCTGCAATATTGATTATGTCAATGTTTTCACTGACCAGCTGGAGACGTGGATACCGTCTCCCCTCCATGAGGGGAAACAAGGTGTTTTAAGGGGACTTTTATGATTACTGAATGACTTTTATTTAATGATGTAGGTATTGCAGTCATTCCTGTAAGAATGAAATGCTGTGTAGTTACATTTTCAGAGTTATGACTTAAGATTAGCATGGAAAGAATATGATTTCACCTCATTCAGTGTTTCTCAGAGCATTTAGATTGACTGCATGTAATAGCTGGATTGGGATTGTGCCTGTTGACTGATGGATATAGTATATATGATTTAATTTTAATTCCTTCCACCTGAACAGATTTATCTATTGATAAATATTGCGTTAACATACAGAACAGGGGAACAGACTTGAAGTATGCTTGCTGAATGGGCTTTGAATGTTTTGTGTGGTATTATTTGTTAATCATTTTATGATATGTAACATTTACATCATATCTTGTATATAATTCTGCACAAATAGTATATGTAAAAGTAATAATAATACATTTTTAACTTTATGAATGGAATGTTTGCTATTAAAAAGGATTTTAAATCTTTCTATGGTTTGTGAGTGGTTTAACACATTTATTAAGAAACATTCTATTATATCACATTATGAGGTTATAAAACTCGCTAAAACTAACATTTCCAGTGGTTTACGTGTAATGGTGTGGTTGACAACAGCTCCAATACCGTGTTCAAGCTTGTTAACCGTTGTTTTCAATCTAGTTTGAGCAAAAAGATCAATGGTGGATTAAAAGACTCATAAGAGGATATCATGGGAAAAGTGTTATATTGAAACAGAAAGTAACAGAGAGAGGCCTACACACTTACATTTGACCTACATAAAGCCTCTGTGAATGTAATGCTAGTCTGGCTTCCTGATTCTGCACTAAAGGATGGCAAAATCTTCAAATGAGTTAAATATAGTAAAACCAGCTAGCTAGCTGGTTCAATTATTACAATCTGGAGCAACCTAAGGTGAAACTTATTCTTGCCCAATTGTTTATAGAACATTCTGCTATTATTTGGCGACTTTAGTACTCTGTCTGATAAGAAAAAAAGTGTAACTGTTTTACCTTGTGGACTAGAGACTTGGCAGCAGGCCTTATCTCCATCTTAAGGTCAAACGCAGTACTGCACACACGTGCAAGGGAAAGTTTTGTTTATTATTAATCATTAAAGATTGTTGGAATATAGTATGCTTTTTACTAAATAAGCAAAATAACACCGCAGTCTTTTATGTATTAACCACATGGTTTATAACAGACCGATTTTGACGTTGAAAAGTTCCGCATGGAAAGCGTTGGATAATGTCTATTACTATTGTTCATAATTCAGATTTCATATTAGATTGGATATTGACACAAACTATGCTTGGTTGCACTATGCTTTTTAATAAGCGTGCATTCTTCCCGCTGCGAGGTCTGGTGTTTTCGAATGCATAAACGCGTTCTGTGTGAACGGATCCTTACAAAACATGTTCCGTTTATCTATTTAGACACATTTTATTCAATTAATATTGAGTTGTGTGGCAAAACGTGAAAACAATGTGTGGAAAACAAGGAAAGCTTTTGATTATTCAATGAGGAAATGTGCTTGTGGATGTTTTGAAGTTTGTACATAAAAAAAAAAAGCACACAACACTTTTGGAATGCATTTAAAAGGTTTTATTTCTTTATCAGTCAATACAAGGTGTACGTACATTGGAAATAAATGATGCAAAAATACACAAAGTGATATACACAAAAGTCTAAGATATCTGAAGAACTGTGATCCATATGAGAAAGGCATGTCTTATTGGACACCATTTGAATAAGGCCCCTTGAGTCATGTCTGTACTAGCTACAGAAATCAAGGGAATATATCTGATTCACAGTCAAATGGAAAATAAAAAAAGCCTTTGCTGCATAAAAGATGATCAAGAAACATCAACAAATGACAAAACCAAAGACGATCGCTTGCTGCAAACGCTTTCAACCAACTGATTAGCACATTTGTTGTGTTAGCATCTCATCTTAGGATTCAAAAAGACATCAGACAAGGTTTTCGGTCAATACGACTGCGGCGTCAACACCATAGCCTCTTGAAATCCATTACAGATCATATTGGAGGTGACACAAGAACAGAAAACAGTAATATTTGTAGTTCAACACCAAAGACACAGAAGTGTAGATTCACTTACAAGTTGTAATTGCAAAAGTATATCAAATGCTTTATAAAAAGATGATCACCAATAGAGTATTTGTTGCATTTGTCAGCTATGGCCTCGGTGAATAATCTATGAACTCAAAAGCATGATCACATCCACTCAAAGTCAGCCCTTCACCGCTCTAACCCATGATTCTAGACAGAACCGCTGTAAGAAATCCTCTCGTCAAGCTTCTTTCTGATAAACTTACAGTCAAGTGAGGTTATGCTTGAAGTTATGAGATTATAGGTTTAGATTAAGGCTACAAGTGGTAGAACAACATGTTAACACTATTTCTAACATATCCTGACCAGAATATCTTCCATTTCGAACCTACTTTGACCGCCTTTGTGCTTTGGACGAATTCGGACTGAACGGCAGAAAACAAGGGGAGATCAGAGCACCATTTTTTATTTTTTTTGTGAAATGTCACAATCTACTGAATGACAAATCTGTTGAGAACTCATTACCAATCACTATATTATACTAATTCTACTAACTAAAGTCTATTTTCACTACGCTTGGTTATAATATTTGGGCAAAACCAAATTAAAATAATAATAATAATAAAAAAAAGAAAAATAGTTGACATATTGACATATGTAATGGACAGAGTGTCTAGGCCAATTGTCCTCCTGTGTTTTGTGCGTAAAAGGTCACTCTCTGAAATACATGTTACGTTGATACATGCGGAGCGTGAAGAGGGTTATTCGTAGCTCTCTTTGTTAACGGTCACTGTAATCATTGATGACTCGTCCACATTGTTTTTTCTTCAAGTAAGGGATGCCATTGTTTCAGCAATGGGTCTCTTTAAGTCAGGCGGGCGCGACAGGAAGGTGTCCCTCATGAGAGCTGTTAATGATAAAATAAAGTTAATGAGTTAGCTTTTATAAATTAATCTTATATTCAACAGGACAGGACTGTTTAAAATAAGCAGCGTACCTGCTGTATCGCACAATGCCTGCGCTCCGCCCAGCAGCGGGTCCCTGTCGGTCAAGAGCTGACTTCGCTTTTGAGGTGGTGGTTCAAATTCTTCCAAACCATCATCAGACAAGCTATTCTAAAAACACAAAACAAAATCACACTCTGAAACATATTGTCTACAACAAGTGTTTTTGTGTGAATGAAGCTAAAGAAGTAAAGGTAAAAAACAAAAACATTTTTCCTTACCAGTAATGTGTGGCTGAGCAGAAGCTGTTCCTCTATGCAGCCGCTCATTGGTTTCTTCTCCAATTTGGCAGCCAGAACAGGAATGTCCTCTTCCTCCTCGTCTTCCAAACATCTATTGTGGAGAAATACATTAAATACGCATCTTATACACTACCGTTCAAAAGTTTGGGACTTTTATTAGTTTCTTTTTACAGAAACTACTTTTATTTAGCAAGGATGCATTAAATTGATCAAAAACGAGAGTAGAGACATGCTATAAAAGAATTCCATTTCATATAAATATAATTTATCCGTCTAAATTTTGAACTTAATATTTATTTTAAAAAATCCTGAAAAAAAAAAACTGTATCAGTTTCCACAAAAATATTACGAAACAACTGTTTTCAACATTGATAATAATAATAAAAATGGACTTGAGCAGCAAATCAGCATATTAGAATGATTTCTGAAGGATCATGGGAAACTGAAGAATGGAGTAATGACTACTGAAAATTCAGCTTGGCATCACAGGAATAAATAACATTTTAAAATAGAAAACAGCTATTTTAAATTGTAATAATATTTCACAATATTACCATATTTTTTATCAAATAAATTCAGCCTTAGTATGCATAAGAGACTTCCTTTAACACATTAAAAATATCCTACCAATCCCAAACTTCTGAAAACTTCTGGTACATTCTACCAGATTAGACAAATATAAATATGCTGAAATCATCATTATGATTTTTCACCGTTTCCTTGAAGTCTTGGTCAGCATATCTGACGGTACAGCCATTTCACCCTGGGGCAGGAAGGTCAACTGGAAGTCATCATCCATGGAGATATATGGAGCCAACATGTCCAAATCAAGCTCATCCATAGCCTGTCAGAGAATGAAAGTGTTAAACATCCACGACTTATCTTCTGAGATGTTTGAAAAGAAATCTAAAAACCACTTTGAGAACTACCTCTGATTGTCCTTTCAGAGTTACGCTCTCCTCTGGTTTGAGGGCGAAGAACTTTTCCACCCCTTCCATCTCCATGGGCAGCTCTTCAGCGGGGCTCTGAAACAGACCCTTAAAATGTCAGATAAACCATTCAAAACATCAAAAATACCCAAACAAAAAACTAAACTCTCATACACACCGCAGCGGGTGGAGATTTGGTGGGCCTGTCGAATATTGGAGAAAGGAGCCGACGGAGTTCAGGCGTACAGAAGTCCTGAGGGCATTCTGGGACAGTGTTGGGACTAGATGGACGGCAGAAGGACAACTCCACACCGTCTGTGAATAATATAAAGCACTATTAGGATGACATTACAACTGTGCAAGAATGCACAACCAAATCGATTTTAAGACCAACAGCAAACATTCAAATTCTGTAGAAAAGCATGATTTTGAGCACCTGTTAGGGAAATGACAGCGTCTCCAGAATGAGGTGCCAGCTGCAGTAAGTCCTCTGGGTTCTCCTTCATCTGGAGGAAGAGTTTCGCAGTGCTGCTCTCCTCCTCCATATCCTCCTCCTCCTCCTCCTCCTCCTCCTCCTCCTTCAGCACGCTCAGCTTCTCAGCTCTGGGCTTTGGTTTCTCACAGGTCTGTTCTAATGAGAACACAACATCCGCCTCTTCTACACCACTGCCAGAGAGAGAGAGAGAGGGAGAAACATCAGTGTTTCCCCTGCCATTATTTACAGGACGGCATGTCATTTCAGTCTCTACGTTATGGTCGCGCTCTCTGCATCACACACATCGGAGTTAAATATGAATTCTGCGTGTCTCTGTGTTACTGAATGGCGCAGACGCGCGGTTTTGTGTAGTACTCGTACTGAAACGCTCGTGACGCTTCCGGTGATATTAACTTCTGTCGTCTCACTAATGAGGACATAAATACATGAACAACACCTCCAGAACTGCTCTGAGAGTCACTTCTTGAGCATTTGACCGTTTCATTTCAGTAAAACTATCATCATGTCATACACACACAGAAATGTAATGGTATTCACGGCAACCCGTCAAAATAAACGTTCGGTTTAATTCGAGGGCATTGGCAGAAATATATTACTGTTGTTGAGTAGAATGTACGTAACAGACCGCTACTACTACTACTACTAAAACCTTATTTTTAAGGAATAAGCATTCAATATTTTAATTGTAATATTAAATGACCTTTATTTTCCCAAAAATTTAATTTGTTTAATTTTCATTACTTAAAAGATA